CTATTCATTTGTAATATGTGTAATCCATAACATGAATAACAACAGATCAATGTGAAAACTTCCGTTAATGCATTTAGATACATTATAAGAGAAGAAAGAGAATAACCAAGCCATATTTCCATATGAGATGTTTAAGCTGTGGCAAGTTCACCAATACTGACAGTAGACTAGGCGTACCTGATTAACAATTCTTCCAAGAATTGATCTTCTTTGACCCTTTAATTGTATTGATTTAAAATTTGGTTTTGCTCCTCACTCTGTGTTGAGATACTTCACAGTTTTTATCCTCATTATTCATATGAAAAGAAATTAATACAAGATCGTAGGGGCAAGGCATCCTATGATTGTGGTGCCTTAGACATGTTGGGTTGTCGGAAAAGTCATGACGCACTTTTGCAATGAAAAACATAGAAAAAAAATAAGTCATGACTTTTCCGTCAACCCAATATTTGCCAAAGTGAAAAAAGTCTACTAGATAGTCTTTTGGCTTTGGCCTCAACTTACTATTGCAAACATCACTGTAGCAGACACATCTGTCTCCCCATCCCTGTCACTTTGGGCCACTTCTGACTTGGTCTATCACCATAGTAGACTTTTTCTAGAATGCTGGCAGCCTCCCATCTCAAGTGTTTTACTTCTTTTTCTGAGGGAAAACTGCCTTGAGAGCTTTCCCAGACCATATGCAAGGCAGTTTGGAAGTGCCTGAGATTGAATGTGTCAAAGAGCAATACTCAATTGATAAGGGACAAGAATCAATGGATAAACACCCAAACTTTCTTAGTCTTCTGCAAGAGCTCTGAAGGACACTTCAAAGCACCTCGAGTGATAGAACCTTAGTCGCTCACAGCAATAATCTATATACTTTTTAATATTTTATTAGCTTTCTCCCTTCCCAGTCTAACATTCTCTTTTCCCTCATTTTTGCTTCCTGAAATAACCTACCAAATAAACATTATATACCGAAGTCCTTGCCTCAGGGTCTGCTCTTGGGAAAATTACATAAGTTTCAGTGTCTTGTAGGGGATTAGTAAAGCAAGGCCACAGGTATCTATAACACAAATGAAACTCTATGGGTGCATGTTAATAAGAGATAATGAATATATCATATTATTGAGTAACTGGAGGCCCTATGAGAAAATGATTAGTATTTGAGGCATAGACACTCACCATCCGTAACTCTGACCTGACCATCAGCATCTTTGCTTAGACAGGATTGTAGGTGGAGATTTTGAAAAATGCTTACTCCCACTTCAGAATGTTTATGGTTAAGAATCCCAGTGTAGGGCCGGCCGAGTGGCGCGATGGTTAAGAGCTGGCTTGGGACACCAGAGGTCCCCGGTTCGGATCCCACATATGAGGGCCAGTGACACTGCCCTCCACAGCTAAGATGCTGAACAACAGCTCAACCTGGAGCTGGGCTGCCGTGAGTCACCGGCGACGGCGTAGGCTGCAGCCCCTGCTGCAGTGGGTTGCCATGGGCTACCGTGTGTAGCCGGGAGCCAGCGTGAGCGGCCAACAGCCGCTGTGAGCGGCCATCCAGAAGCCGGCGACTGATCTGCCTCGCCCGGGGAGAGCGCAATGATGGTGCCAACTAGACTGAAGAACAAAAGGACAGCAACTTGTCTGTTCCCCTTCCCCCAATTCCCCAATAAAAATCTTTAAAAAAAAAAAAAAGAGTCCCAGTGTAAACATAAAAATCATAACAGATAGAAATGAGGACCCTCACTATCTTCAAAGAGCATAATAATAGTGGTGGAAACACATTACTACTCCAGAAAACATGGTTACAAAAGACATTGTTAATATGTATTTTATAATGGACTGAATCTGGCATGGGTGATTATACTCATATCTAAACTTTAAATTGAAGAAGTTAGCCAACAAAAATCGCCACCGGAGTTAATCTAGTAATCAGGTAACCAGTGCCATCTACTCACCTGAAATGAGGAATGAGTTCTTATTCATGCCCCATGTGATTACTAACCTAGCTGCAGTCAGAAGAACTTATAATTGTCTGTTCCCTTTGAGACACTCCCCTGGGAGCTTGACTGCAATTTCTTGGTTATTCCCAAAGCATTGGAGAACAGGAAATTATGCCATGATCTTTGTTAATTATCCAAGGTACCTTTGGTTTTCCCACGGAGGACATGTTCCTTTACATACAATTCACCTGCTTTGTTATTATTATTATTATTATTATTATTATTATTATTATTTTACTGCATCCACTCAAATATCATGATGGAAGTATATTATTTGTTAGATTTTTGCTTTAGTCACCCAGAAATTACTTCAGCATTCAGCATTTTTCACAATGACTTCTTCACAAGTTTTATGTCTGAGGATGAAGATGAAACTCTTAAAACATGTCCTATAGTGTTTTAAAAAATTCAGAAGCAATAAAAATTAAGAATATGTGTGTTACACTAATTTTTTAACATAAGAGGCTATAATGAGTTAATGATACCCTAATTACATATCCACAATTATCATGTTTTTATTTCCTATCTTCACTTCAATTTCCCTTCCCCACATTGGGGAAGTTGATGTATGTCTTCTAAAAGGAATACAGCCTTATAAAGTAAATATAATATATGTTTTAATGTGCACACATATAGTGTGATGTAAATCATTTTAATACTTGAAGCTTCTCAACTATACATTTTTGAAGTATATTTACTTTAATACATGTCCTAAGTCTTGATTGTGCTATTTAATAAACTTACATTGGTCAAGCAGACAAAACTCAGTACCATGATTGGATCACAAAATTTAACCTTTCAAAACATCTGTAAGAAACACACACACACACACACACACACACACACACACACACACACACACACCTTCGTGCACACACACATACAAAAATATGAAGAAAAATGACATTATAGATACCACATTTTCATCACTCACATTAAACAATAGTTTTATCTTTTAAGATTCATTATTTTAAAGTAATACAATTGCTATTGGGTTGTCTGAAAAGTCATGATGCATTTTTGCAATGAAAAACATAGAAAAATACATAATGACTTTTCCAACAACCCAATAGTCATGTGGTTTTAAAACTATGTAAGTGGGCTTAAGATGTTTATATCATTCTGTGTTTGGTATATATATATATTGCTCAACCATCTTATTTTGAGATTTAATTATCTTGATTGTTATGGATTAGGTTCATGCATGCATGTACGGTAGACAGGCATTTTGGTTGCTTCTGAATCTTCTCCATAACTGACAATAATTGCATATTTTTATTTCACTTGATAGTCCCAGACTTTAAAATTTTTGCCAGTGTTATGAGTGTGGAAGATTGTTTTACATCATTTTACATTCACATTTTCCAGCTTGTTATCAAAGTTAAGTGTATTCATTGGCCTAAAGAGATTTATTTTGTGAATTGTTCATGTGTGTTCTTTGTCCATAGTTCTATGAAATTTCATCCCATTATTTATTAACTTAACAGATGCACTAGTGTATCTACTTTCTCTGTCTATGGCTAGTTCTTTTACTGTACTTGTGATTTTTTTCATTCATACTTTAAAATTTTTAAGGCATAAAATTTATCCATCTTGGTGATTTTGAATTGTGTTTAAGGATCCCTTCAATGCTACATCATATACACTGACACAGGGTCAGTCCCCAATTGCATGGTTTGGATATGCAAAGATAAAGAATATCAGTGACCATGGTTTAATTGTGACATTTTAAGGAAGGAACCATGTGATTAGCAGTGGGGAGAGCCTTCTAAATAGGAGGAAATAAATGCAAAGATACTGTGCTAGGAATACATGATGGTAAGAGGTATTCCGCGTAAGAACTGTGGAGGTGTTTTTTAGATTTAATAATCCCGAATTAGGGAAACATTCTTAGATTGGACACTAATTCTAAGGAGATTATCTTTTGAATTAAAAAATAAGGACACTCCTTGAGGAAGAGAATACATTTTCATGAAATAATAATTAAAAATTAATAAATAAAAGTGAAAGAAAAAAAGAAGGGAGAACACTGCAACTTAAAATCATTTTTGATGGTGACATACCTTTGCAATGAAAAGGAGGTCTGTTGGAAGCAGGGCTAACCGTGAGCCCTAGAGAGACCAGCTTCTGTCCCTTGGTTCCTGGGCTGGGCACTGAGCAGTGGTGGCGTGTGCAGAGCATCACGGGGGCAAGGGGTCAAAGAAAAAGAGCTGAAAGTGGAGTAAGGGCCAGGCCTGTAAGAATTCTATAAAGATGCCTGGGGCTTAGTTCTGGGAAGAGCCCAGTCAGACAACCAGTTTTACCTTATTCTGCTTTTCTTTTGTCATTCTTGAATCTAAGTATGATCTTGCCAAATGCTTAGCCTAGACTTTGTTTCCTGTGAGATATTAAAAATAGGTTTAATGTCTATCTCTGGAGGAAATAACAAAACAGGGAGAAATGCATCCTTCACAAACTGCATGGTAATGACCCTACAATTTGAACACGTTTTCTGCGGTCCCTGAACCACAGGCTGTGATTGGATTGCTGCCAATGTGCAGGTCTAAGGGTGGGACTTTAAATTGTAGTCTGATACCAATGACTTCATGGAATGTGGTCTGGTATTTGATCAAGCTAGTCAGATAAAATTATACTGTTCCTCATAATTGCAACTATTGGAGCCTATATATTCTGTTGCATGGCAATTAAAGGAAACAATACACAACATTCTTAAGTAATGATTACATACATATATGTCTCTTTGTGTGCGTTTGTGTTACCTCAATCAGTATCAGCATCCACATACATATGTGTGTGTAAATATGTGTGTAGACACATATCATTGGGAACGTGTTAAGAAGCAAATTGATGATAGCACTATTTTTTAAAATCTAAAGACAGCATAGGTAGAGAATTGACTATAATCTTTATTTTAAAATATCCAGGAAAACAAAAATACATTAATAAACTACAACAAAATATTGTCATCATATCTAATTGATACTGAGGCACAGAGCATCACTCTCAATTTTTTTAAATTTAGTTTTTACTGTGAAAAGATACTTTATTGAGAAACCAATTTTTCCTACACATTTTTTGTATTGCCTCTTTTACGTCTTTGTTCCTCAAACTGTAGATGATAGGATTCAGCATGGGAATCACCATGGTGTAAAATATCGACACTATCATGTCGTGGTCCAAAGCGTAGTTGGAACTTGGTCTCACATACATGAAGAGGATGGTTCCGTGATAAATGGACACTCCAGTTAGGTGAGAGCCACACGTAGAAAAGACTTTTCTCCTCCCCTCAGCAGAACGCATCCTCAGAATGGCCAACAGAATGAAGCCATAGGAGATCAGGACGACCAGGATAGTGACTATCTCGATGGAGCCCACAAAGTAGAAGAGGAGGAGCTGGTTCGTGTGAGTGTCAGAACAAGAAATAGCAAGGAGAGGAGGGATGTCACAAAAGACATGCCTGATTTCATTGGATGCACAGAAGGAGAGGCTAAATGTGGCCACTGTGTGTATGGAAGCATGCAAAATGCCACCAACATAGGAAGCAATGATGAATGGCACATAGACTCCAGCTGACATGCTAACTGAATACAGGAGAGGGTTGTAGATTGCTACGTAGCGATCATATGCCATTGCAGCCAAGAGAAAGCATTCCGTGGTCCCAAAAGTAACAAAGAGGAACATCTGTGCTGCACATCCAAGATAGGAAATGGCTTTATTCTCTTTCAGGAAATTGACTAACATTTTTGGAGTGACAACTGAAGAATAACAGGCATCCAAGAATGATAACACGCTCAGAAAATAGTACATTGGGTTGTGGAGCCGAGAATCCCCCATGACCAATACAACCATTCCCAAATTTCCTATCACGGTAAAAAGATAGATTGCTAGAAATAGTAAAAACAGGAAGACTTGCACCTCAAAACCATCTGTGAAGCCCATCAATATAAACACAGTGACTTCAGTGACATTATTCAACTGAATCCTGTTTACATCTAAATCTGATGTCAACGGTGACATTTTTATTTGTAGGCTTTGAAGTAATACTTTTGAAAGTAACATTCACATTATTATATCCTCTTGGCTGTTTCGTAGAAGGGCATATTGAAATCCTTGGCGGTGAGGGAACAGGCAGCGATGAAGAAGCTGGGTCCAAGTGAATGCGTTACCCTGTTACAGTAATGAAAGTTTTATTAAGTGGTTGGCTAAATTTGGCATGTTAAACAAAGTCAATTTACATTGTTTACTTTCCAGTTTATTTTCTGTTAAATTTTCTACCATCTGGTTTCAGATTCCGTCATCTTAAAGTCTACAAAGACAAATAAATATAGGAATTTTAAATCCAAAAATATTGTAGTAGAAAGTACACATCTGAGTTCTAATCTTAGATTTTCTACAGTGTGCATGAAATGCCTTTCTTTAGCCTTTCCAATTGTTAAAATGAAAGCAGCCACACTTATATTAACAAGATTGTACATAAATGTTAATTGTATTGTATTTGACAAAAACAATGTAGAGATCACTTAATTTTAAAATGTTCCTAGAAGACCAGAAAATGGGATAAGTTGGACTGACATTTCAGCTTGTCATATGGGGCAGCCTTTTCTGACTAAACCATTGAATATCCTCTTTTTCAGCGATTTTCCCATTCAACTAGTATTTCTATAACTTTCGTCAACAGACAATAGATATTATACAGACGTAGATGCGCCTTGTATGCAAATGATAACAGAACACTGGTTTGGTTTGGTTTCTCAGTTTTGTTTCTTGATACGCATACCACCAAGTTGTCTATTTAGGCCTACATAGTTTAATATGCTATTACTGTTTTTCTAAATTTAACTTGATACCAACGTAAATTTTTTCTCGATTCATATACTCATTATCCTTGCAAAGCCCTTGGGTGTATTTTTATTTTTGTCAAAAATAAATCATGACCATTTCTTTAATATATTATAGTTTCTTAAGGAGTCCCTAAAATTATTACAAAAGAAAAATTACTCAATAATGGATGATAAAAACTGTTGCCAAAAGAGCAAAATCACTACATAAGCCATAAAGTAGTGTTTTATTTTTTATATTTTCCCAAGCCATCAGACTCATTCAGTGGAATATGAAAAAAGGAAAGTCTACTAAAAAAAAGTTGAAGAGTCATTTGTATCTGGACTGAGTTTCATGGTTGAAACAAAATTAAATATTGAGTCTACCATATTTAGGAGCAAGAGTTCAGCACTGTCATTCTTGTTTTTCCTTCAGTGTGTCATAGACCAAAATGTATTTAAAGGAGTGAATAATCTGCCGTGTATAGGGCCAAGGATGTACACAGCATTTGTATTTGTGGCATGAAACACACTACACTTTTTGTCATATTGCGATGTCCATACATCAAGAAGGAATGAGAAAATCAATATTTTTCCAAGAGGAGAACTACACATCTTTATTTTTCCAGAAAATTCTTCTCAAATTCATGTGGAAGATTTTTTAAATACAGTGAATAAATAGCTTTTTACATGTGGGACTATTAACACATCCCCTCCCCCCATGCTTATTTAATCCGTAAAGAATTCCAGAGTAAAAAAATATATAATTAAGCTAAATTTTAACTTCTCTGTAAATACAGACAACTCACACTACTCTTGAGAACACACACACACACACACACACACACACATGTCTTATAATAATTTTCAGTATAGTTTTTCAGAATAGTTACATTAATAAAATAATTTGTAAAGCCATTAACTAATAATATAAATATGTAGCAATGTATTGTTTGGGCCTTACAAAAAAATCCATTTGAAAATACATGTTATACACAGAATATATTTCAGCAATGTTACAATTCTAACCTGTACTTAATTGACGTGTCTGAGATAATACAATTGTGGAAGATTAAGAACA